CACCTGCCTCACTGTAATTGTAGTCTTTTGTCTATTGACAGCGAATGCCATTCGCGGGGCGCATTGGCAACAGGACTACATTACTAACAATGCTAGTCAACGGTGGATGGGAAGTTCAAACGGTAGAAGATAGTAAAACAGCGACGTTCGAAGGACTTGCTGCGTAAGTGCAGTATGGTAAAACAAAAAGACAGAAATGTTAATTTACCGTCAATAAAGTTGTTGTAAATATTATTGTACGACACTATTATTATTATACTATCTTATAATAAATAACAATGGTTCATATAATCTGTTTTTAGCTTTATTCTTTACAATCTACTGGACATATTTATTCGGGAAAAAAACTCAAATCACACAAAGTAATTACACAATGCATATCTGATGACCAGACATATATTTAAGTTAAAAAAAAAACAAAAAACAAAAAAAAACAGATAAAACTTTGTCATTTTTAATACAAATTAATATTAATTTTTTTCAAGAGGGGAATCTTGTATCTTTTATTAGTTTAGTACACAATCAATTTAAGATGCTTGTACGTCTTTTTGCTCTTATTCCAGCACCAAGGCAGTGAGGCATGAAGTCAGTGACACTATTAAGATGTTATGGATTATTTAAAATAAATATTTACATAAATTCATGGCGTCCACCCAGAGGAGGAAACACCACACCAAGTGCTCACTCCCCTGGAGATAACAAAACTGTCCAGCTCAATCAAAGCGCCTACCCTCCCATATGGTGGTTTTTAAGCAGGACTGGACAAGTAAAAAAAAATGACAGCCTAAAGTCTCTTGGTCTCTGGTTCTTTATCTTCTCTGTTGGTAAAGCAGTCCATTCTTCTTGGGAAAACCACTCCAAGTGTAAATTCTTGTGCTGTCTTGCACTCCATGTTTGAGTTCTTCCAGAGTGTCTCAATGATATTGAGGTCAAGAGACTGAGATGGCCACTCCAGAAACTTCACTTTGTTCTGATGTTGGAATGTTCATTAACTTTCCATGCACAGCTTCCAGGCTGATGAGTGCAAATGTTCCTCCAGTATCCTTCGATAAACTACGGCATTCATCTTCCATTCAATTTTGACCAAGTTCCCTGTGCCTTTAACGCATCCACTAAAACATCAGTGACCCACCTCTGTGTTTCACAATGGGGGATGGTGTTCTGTTCATGTTGACTCCTCCTCAAATGTACAGTTTATGGTTGTGGCCATAAATTAAGAAATGTCAGCGCATCCCTAGATAAGAGGCAAGTGTCCATCAGGAGCCCAGAAACCTTTTATGAAAGAATAGCACCCATTATTTGGATAAATCTAATAAAACATGTAAATGAGTTACTTAAGATGGACGAATACCCATAAGGAACACGAGTATTCGTGCTATTGGAATGTGTTTTGATTCCAAGTAAAAATTATGAAAAGCTACAACAAACAAATGGCTCCCATTTTGTGGAATGGCTCAGGTAGCTATTGCCATAAAATAAAAAAAGTAAAATACTGGATCTATAATATTGGATATACAATACAAGGCTGGAGTATTTTGTGTTTTGTGAACTACTCAAACATAGAAATTTCATTTTTGGAAACAAGCTATTGAAAAAAATTTACTTTGCCCCAATATGAATTTTTTTTTGCATATACTGGCGCATAACAAGCTTAGTTGGAAGTGTATTGGACCAGTCGTTGCTTTAAGGTGTCCAATAAATCTTTGGTGAGCTAAGTGACACGGTGACTTGTGCTGCTGCCTCTCAATTAGAGGGTTGCCATTAAGGGCTGAGTGGTGTTTTCATGCTCTCCAGCCACAGTCCAAAGACACGGTGATCCGAATATACTGGAAGGATTTGGTTTTCACTTTCAATGTTTCTGAGTTCATTACACTGGATCACTAGTGCATCAAAAGAAAAAGAAGCTTGCACTGTACACGGTTGTGAAAAGTATTTATTCGTTGTTCCTGATTTTTCATCGTCAGAAACAGCTCCTCTTTGGCAGTAAACATTTAAATCCCATCAAACAGCATTCCATGCTTAAAAACTTAAAAAATTTGTGAACATCAAAGAGTATTCATCATCTGTATTCTCTCTTATATTGATAATGGACATTTTATTTGCTCTTAATTTAATCACCCTTAGACCTTTAGTTGAAGACTCCCAAATTCTGAGTGAAGGAGAAGAAAAGCTCTGAGAAAGAAAGAGACCACGGTTCAAAGCAGGACACATATTTGTTTGCAGCATCACTGACTCCTTAAGATTATTGAACATCTGATTTTTGAACCCATTAAGTGCAAATCATAGCGACATTGTAAATTACATTGAGCAAAAGCAATATTTTGGTTTTAACAAAGCTTTTTTTAATATTTAATAAAAAAAAAAAAAACGTAACTTTATCCGTGACTGCCAAGTTGTCTCTTTTGTTTAAGATCACATCTCCCACAGCAGAACGATTCACTAGCTAAATAATTACTTAAAATAGAAAAAAGAAAGTGCATTCAAGCTTTATCTCCGAATAGAGCCGTAGTAAAAATTAAGTGCTTTAAGTCCTGATGTTTACATTGTAACAAGGTGATGCGGCATGGCTGAACAAAGGCACAGTGTGAGAGTCCTCTTCCCTTGGCCTTCACTCCTGCAGTTTGAAGTGGAAGCTGTTTGTGCTCCACTGGGTGATGTCACAATTGAGCATAGTGCGCTCTGTGAAGCTCACGTTTCCCTCGCGGTCGATGAGAATCACTGTATTGGTCCTGTGACGGATACAAATGTGATCTGAGTTAATGACCAAAATGGAAAAATGGGTTGGAGAAACAAGGGGGATTAAAGGAATAGCATGATGGGACCTTGTGCCGTATCCTGGAGAACGTACACATACTGCAGACAGAGCCTGGAGCATAGCCTTACTGTATCCCACACCTTGATTCTCCTGTGCAGGGTCCGGGGTGTTTCTAGGAACAGAGGTGAGATTACCCGGGCTTATATTTGTATAGTGCAATTACAGATGGCAATAAAATGTCTAGAATACATTGTTCGAATTCACTATCCTTTTGTGTTGTTCAAAAACAGTTTTTTCCATTTTTTGGAATAAAAATCAATCAACACCAGTGTTTTCACTAATGTGTGATGTGTCCAAACTATGACGAAAGGTTTAAAAAAAAAATCAAGGCCACATTACTTTTCATATTGATTCAAATATACTTTTCTATATTTTCTTTACTTTTCATATTGAAAGGTAGATTTTTTTTCCAAAAACAAAGACGTCATCTAAGAGATCAGCAATTCCTAAGGGCTAAAATCCTGGATTAAAATGTATATTTAATTAGAACAGAAGTAGATAAAGTAGATAAACAGAAGTAAATAAGAGTTATGCAAATGTAATTTTGATATTAGGATTTAAATGAATATTATAAGAATTATGACATTTTACAAGGTACTTAAAATTTAAATTTGACAAAATGCTCAATCGTCTTTCAGTTTCATTTTACAGAGCCCAAATCGGTGCCATCAGTGTCATCTAGTGGTGAAAAGGGGGTAACCCTTGGAAGTACAAGAACTGTGATGTGGCTTGTGTTTTTCAAAGCAAAAAAAACCCTCACAATACAACAATGTTTAGAAGAGGTTCGCTTTGACCCCGTCTTTGCTTTTTTGGGGGAAATATATTAATTTTCATTTTGTCAACACTTTTGATTTTTGTCAACACTGATAAAACCTGTTTGTTCTCAATTTTTGCAGTAAAAAAATACATTATGTTACATAATACATTATGTACCCTAAATTACAATTAAAATACAATGTCAGGTTGTGGAATTAATGTGTAATGTGATTTAAAAAAATATTTGTAAAAAAAAAAAAGGTGGAGTTGTAGTCAGAAAATTATATCAAGCATTGCCAAAAAAAATGTTTAAAGGTAATTTATTAGAGCAAATTGTATAGTAAAATTGCTCAAAAAGGCCCCCGGAATTAAGAACTGGTTAAAGAATCAAATATACACATGCAACATGATCTATAATAACATGAAAGTATTTATTTGACTCATCAAGAGAGTTTCAGATGTTTCTTATGTTCTCCCTTTTGAGAATCACTAGTGTGTCTGCATTCTTCTTCTAAACCTTGATTTAAAAAATTGCCCTGAATGCACTTCAAAGCATCTATGAAATGGGTTTGTATGAAGTTTTACATTGCCTTTGTAATCCTGATTGTCTAAGAAAGATAAGGGAGACTTAGAGATGAAAGGATTACAAAGAAGGAACACTCACAGCTCCTCATTCTTGAGGATATGCAGCAGTTCCTGGACCAAACCATCAGAGGGCAGCGTTCTGCTCACAACGCTGCTAAACAGCTGTTTGCCATGCTGCAGTTTTCTCCACGGAGTTTCCAAAAGGGAGTTACTCAACCCATAGATTCCTGCTGAAACAGAAACAAACAGTCATCCATCACTTCCTGTAAGCTGTGAGACAGAAACACCCCTTCGAACCTGGGGTGAGAACCTGAGTGAAAGTGGTGTGTACAGCAGCAGCTAGATCAAACAACGGAGCTTTATGCAGACCACCGGTGTCTAAACACTGAGCACTGCACAAACCTGCTTTGAGATGAATGGGCTCTGAACTCCCCTTGTTTCCATAGTAACACAGTGTGTCTTCATTGGGCCTACATCCAAGAACACACCAAGAACAAAAACTAATCAAAACACAGCATTATTTCAATCTGAGAAGCAATTTGGATTGATGCAATAGATTTAATGGAGGATACCCAAACACAGCTAAACAGATTATCAGTAAACAGTTCACCACAGGAATGAGAACAAAAGATAAAGAGAAAATATCAATAATAAAAAGAGATGAAAAGAATGAAAAGTTACTTGAGGACAAGTAAAATACTCATGACATACAGTGGTATGCACAAGTTTGGGCACCCCTGTAAATTTTTATAACATTCCAGTGGAATAAATCACTGGTTGTTTGTATAAGAAATTTAAATTAAATATATTATATAGGAGACAAACACAGTTATATTTGAGGTGCTTTCTTGTGGTTCAGTCAGTAGAGCGTTGCCCTAACAACGCAATGGTTGTGGGTTCAAACCCCAAGGAAAATAAGGAGCTGCCAAATGCATATTTTTCTTGAAATATAAGTTGCTTTGCATAAAAGTGTCTGCCAAATTCACAAATGTAAATGAACTGAAGCTAATTTGTTTAAAAGAATTATTTAAACAAAGATGCTGTACCCAGAGATCAAAGTAGCATAGTATTATTTCATTTATAGAACCAAAGTTAAGAACCTCACCTGGAGTGGAAGGTAAATGGAAGTTTGTTAAATAAAGCAGCTTTAAAACCTCAAAGAAAAATAGAGATTAGACGAATGGACTGATAAATAGAAACAGACATTATATCAACTCGGACAACATGATAAATGTTCCGGTTTTCGTTGTAATCGAAAAAATATTTTGAATCTTATTGTCCTGAGAACAGGAAGTTACATCATAGACAGGAAGTAACATCACAGCCGTTCACTGTTTGGAGATTGTGAATCTTGAAAGAGCTGCTTGACGTTTTCCCCTCCCCCCGTCTTCCTTCTTTGTTCTCAATGCAGTATGGTTTGTTAGCTTTTTAGCATTCAAAGTGTTTTAAAGCTAATAAAGCTGTATTTTCTGTTAAACCCTCTTGAACATTTATTCCATTGCCTTCACAATAATGGATTGTCACAATATCTCGATAACATCACACCCTTTTCAGGAGAGCATCGGTGACTTTGCAGGAGTAGTTTAGCACCATGACTATACCAAATCAAGTTTCAAACAGTCATTTCTTCAAACAGTTACAGTCTTCTTAGTTACAAAGTATTTCTCTAGGCTGCACTGCTTCCAGAACAAGTATGAATGGCAGTGTTTAAGAATGTGTTTTTTAATCCAACCAGGATGCAGCCTTTATGTGCTACCACGTCCTACGGCCTTCAGTGTCAGAATTGATACCCTCAATCGTATTGGTTTGTATTGGTCTGGTTGTAACCAATCGGACTTCAAATTATACTCACAGGGTTAGCTAGCAGGCCTATGGAAATGTTAGCATTTCTCTCTCTGATTGGTTGATAGGCACCATCACCAAATAAGACAGTTCACTCCCCTTGATACATTTAAATTAGACTATCAATAAATTGATTGATTTTTGATGAATTTAAATGGCTGATGGAGGAAGAGAAACAGACAAAGTCTCAAAAATGCTTAAAATCAGCACACAATAAAATGCTGAATATAAAATGAGATGCTGCGGTGTAGCTTAACTTATTTAAGAACCACGAAAGCATTAACCTCTTTCTACTGAAAGCCCAGTATACTATAGATCATGACTAAATTATTTTAACATCCAACGCGTGTAGCATCTCCATGTATTCTGTTTAATTTATTAAATGCACTAAACACTGTGTAATGAAATCTGAAGTTATAAAACAGAAACACCAACGCAGACAGACAACATTTGAATGTGTATTTGTTCGTAAGTGACGTTAAGAAACAGCTTGGAATCAGCTTGTTTAAGCAAGATATTTCTGCAGTAATTATTCAACATTAAATAAAATGGTACAGCTTGAAATAAATGTTTTTCCACTCTAACTGGTCTAAGAATAGCATAATTTACATGCTCAAGAGACCATCGCAAGACAATCAGCAGGAAGCTTGTCAGGCAACACCTAACCAACCTTTTGAGCTTTACCTGATCATTGCACAAATTAGAAAACAACAAACAACCTGCCTGACATCAGAGAGTTACTTTTGGATGCCAAAAATGGCTTTAGAAGAAGTTTCAAGCTGTAACATTGAACAATTTAAATGGGCCTTTGAAAGGAATCAAACATACTTAAATTAACAATTATACTTTAATTTGGTAAAGTGAAACCAAATTGCATGAAGTACATCAACCATTCTGCAAAACAGGGTTTTGAAATATCCATGTCAAATGTCTAAACCTGATAGACCTGTTAAGAAATGCAGGGATGTTTCAATATGCTGAAATTGTGCACAAAACACTAGGTTATCATCAGTGTTTACAAAGACATCTCTGTCGAGGAACAAACAAATCTATTAATTTCCTCAGAAAAGCCACCTTTATTTCCAGGAGACAGCTGTATTGATTTTCGTACAAATCCCCCAGTGTAATTTCTCTGAGAGTTTATCTGGAAGCGCATCATTTCATTCTTTGTATGTGGGAATGAAAGTGATTCTGATGGGTTCAATAATGATCTTGTTTATTAAAAGGGTAAACAAATAATCCCTCTCCGCAGCTATCTCTGTTTGTTTCCCCATGGCTTTTAGATTCCAATGAGTTTTCATGTTTTCAGTTCATAAAAACATGCTTTGAGGGACAGATATTTTCCATCGAGTTCTTTGGATCACATCACAGACTTATATAAGAGTTAGATTAGAATTAGAATTACCACAGTGATGCAAGTTCCCACCTATTTTGATGTTATCGCAGTATCTGCATGTGTAATTTTCACATTTAAGACTTGTAATAGCATGCTGATTGAAACTCAGTTTGAGTTAGAGTCAGACTGTTTGGATGTCTGTAAATATAAAATATGTATATATATTTTCGGGCAAATTTACAAAAAGTTCAAGAACAAATGACATAAATCAAAGATATAAAAACCAGAACTCGACATTTCTCATTGATTTTTGGCATTCAAATTCTACGAGCTACAAAAAAAGAGCCAGGACTTCAAAATTGAGTTTTAAATAGAACCTAGAAAACTATTTCGTCATTCTTTGGTTGAGAACTGTTTTTTTTTAATGTTATGTTTTATTATAAAAAGAAATGCTATTGATTACATATTGATTGTACATAAGATTTTAAAACTTGAAGTGAAAACTTAAACAAACCATAAATTATTCTTTTCCGATGAAGTCTTAAGCAATTGAAAAACTAGATTTAAATGAAAAACAACAAGATTGAACTATTTTGTAAATGCCCCAAGACCAAATTCAATTGTATAAACAGATACATTGATACAATGCTGTAATCATTACATACAATGCAGGCGGTTGTCAGGGTTGGATTTTCTGGCACCTGTCCCATGTTTAAAATCCTGTTGCAAGGCAGACTTTTTATGGTGTTATACCACCAATGTAGAATATAAGGCTTTTAAGACTTTTCAAGGACCTTCCGCCACCCCAAATTATACAGCCCAAAATAGAATGAATAGAAACAAAGGGCTTTTTGTTAAGGGATTCTCAATACTGTGCATTATGATCTAGTCTCCTTGAGTGGTTAGCTTGAGTGACAAGCATTGACTAGCTTATTTTAAGTCATATTTAGGACAAACCTGTGGTATACTTGTTTGTATTTGTTCAAATCAGTGACATACTTTGTAAAAGGTAGACCTTTGGGGGTGCAAATTGCACCAGGACACTATTTTCCTCCTACTGTCCAAAACGTACATAAAATTGCACACATTGAGTGAACTTGGTCCTGCAATGGCCCATGAACTCACCCAAGGGTGAATCTTGTGTTTCATCAAAGGTGTGCTTCTACAGAAGTTCAATGCGACACCAATTATTGTTTCTAAGCAGGTGCAGAAACTGCATGAATGTTTATTACTGAACTTATTGTATGTGAAAAATAAAGAATCTGTTCAAACCAACTTTAATTATTTTGCCGTGTGCATGCCACACCACTTAAAACACACCATCTGCTCAGATTATCTATTACAAACTTTTCTAAAGCTTTGGGATATGGAAAACAGGTGGCAACACCAGTTCCAACAGCCCCCCTTGAGGATTAGAAACTTCACCCATTGGCTGTCATTTCATCTTCATTAAAAGTGATGAAAGCAAGTGAGTTCATGAACAGGATTTTCCCAAAAACACTGAGTGGGAAGAGATTTTAAAATGTTAAGAGACTGCAGAAAGTACACAATTAAAAATTGAGTACACTTTAATCGTTGACTACTACACTTATATTTTATATATTGAGAAATATAGATAATTGTTTCAACACTTCAACAAGATTTCGACGTTTGATTTAAACTGCTATTAATTGATTAAGGTTTTAATGTAGTGCATGGTATTATCACTGTTTTGAATTCTATGAAGAAAATGGTTCAAATTAAAACCACTTCACAACAGTCCTCTTAATAAGAAATGTAATTATTTTAAATAAAACACTCTTTTCTGTGAACTGTCTTCTGCACCTAGCAACTTTAAAATTAACAGAACAATTAAAATAACTGTTATTATAAACTTTACAATTCGTTACTATACTGTTTACATGTAGCAACTATGTATCTGTTTTAAATATGAGTCACATTATAGCAGCTAGTAGAGCTTTTTCGAACTCTTATGCTGTTGAAAAAAAAAAAAACAACTAAACACCAGGTGGAAAAAAACTGATGAGTGTACACTCCAGTCAGTGTTTCCCCTACCATTAAATAGGACGGGTGCCCCTCTAATGCACAATGCATCCCTCAGTTGCTAAAACCATTGCATCACAGGATCTGTTTTCATTTGTATGTGCATATGCAGCATAGATCTTGAGTACTCTGATGAAATATATTCTTTCTCACCGATAAGTTGTTTATGTAATGGTACCGTGTGCATTCATTACCTACATATACCAGTCAAAAATGAATTTTTTTTTTTTCAATTTAATGGTTCTACATGGTAAAAATCTGAAACCTTACCTCGTTCCAATATGAATGACCACCAACAATCAAGAATGAGTGTTTATTGGGTGTTATACAATCAAAAAAGGTTGTTATAATGGAAGTCAATGGGGCAGAAACAGATATGAACAATAAATGTAAATCTGGTGGTTCACGCAAACAAAAAAATCCATTAACGGCAATGTTGTTACTAATGTTTGACACGTTCAAGGATGTGACTGTGGGGAAAAAATCCAGGCCACAGTCTTTTTTCATATTGAAAAAGGTCTTTTTTTCCAGTATGAATCAGTGACATGATAAGATCTTGGCAATTAAATGGTAAAAATCTTGGATTTAAAATCTGAGCTGAGGTAGATAGGAAAATCTTAAAAAAAAAGATCTAATAGTTTTAACAGTTTAATTTAGTGTCTGTTAACAGCTACGAATATACCAAAAGGGTAGC